GGGGGGAGGGGTGAGGGCGGGAAGTGCGTCGGAGGGGGCGGCCTGGAGGAGCGCCCCCGGCTCGGCATGCACGGGCTGCGTGGGGCCCGGAGCAAGGCCTCACTTGTTCATCCAGCTGAAGGTCCAGTGATCAAACAAGCCCCACTTGGGGGCTTGCTCTGCTGGCAGCGCCAGGGTGCCGACCCCCATGGTGCAGTCGTGGCCGAGGTGGTGTCGCCTGGTAGTGACTGGCACGAACGGCCTAGTGTGTAGGAGAGATGAACGCTATTTCTGAAATTAAAAGACGAACAGCGGCGGCTTAAAAGGAAACAACGAGGTCTGTTGTACGGAGTAGAGTTCAGTGTTGGAGGGCGTAGTGCGTGAGTTACCACGTTTGTGGCACGTAAGCCTGAGCCCCTGCGCACCAACACATGTGAGAAAATCTCGGTAATTTATATCGTGGGCGAGCCTGCCGTTGTGTGGGGTCTCACCGCCACAATTTTGCTTGGAACCGTCGACGTGCGTGGATGAGAGAAAGTACCGCCCAGTACCTGAGAGACAGGATCAACTGCCGCATCATATCATTGCAGGCTACACGAGTTGCAACTCAGCTCATTACAACAACACGTGTTGCAGAGGGCGCCACCTACCGTAGCATTCTGCGTCGCTCCCGCCAGCCGCGGCCAGCCGAAGAGCGCATTCGCCAGGGATTATTGACCTTTGGGGCGGGTGGCTAGTCGGCCAGTATGTCTACTTGAACCACTAGCATATGCGCCAAGGAAGCGACACTGTGGTATCACAATGCAGCCCGAGCGATTTACAATATGGAGGGACCTCAGCCCCCTCGCAAAATTTCAGCAGCCTGGGGCAGTCACCAATTGAGGCAGTTATATTCTTGTGCTGGGTTGGGCAGCCGCTCATCGTGCATGTGCGTGGCAGGGTCCGACTCAGCACGTCGCAGGCAATCAAGGCAGTCCTGGAGGCTTGCCAGTGGGCTTATCGCTGCCCTGCTCTGGGTGCAGCCGGAGCGCCGGCAGGACCGAGGTTGGCGCAACTTCTTCGGGAAGTTTAGCGTGAGGCAGCCGCACCCAGGACATCACTTCATTCGTTATCACTGGCTTATTCTTGAAACATCTTAATGGCCCAGCGAGTGCACGGGGCCGTCCCTGCACACTGGGCAGCAATACATCCAGCGACTGCCCGTCGACTGCCCTGCAATCACCAGCCCAGACGGCGACGGCGATGGCACCGAACACAAGCCCCACGGCGACGGTTCCTGCACCTTTTTGCGTGTTTCAACACGCACAGCACTCGATAGCGCGCAAACAACAAGTCTATATCAACACCAAGCCACATCCCGCGTGCGACAAGACTTGGATCGCAGTATTGCGCACATCTGAACAGGATCAAAAGCGCGTTATATACAGGTGAGTTCTCGCAGGCTGGCCCCTGTTCGAAGGGTCGACGCCCGCGCAGAGGCGGGTCCATTATCCAGCGCGAGCAACCCAATTGCTGCGGCCCGGCTTTGAATTGTGAATCTGAAACATGCGCATATATCTGCAGCTGTGGCAAGAGGGGACAACAGGATGGGGGCGGCCGTCGCGCATGAAGAGCTGCCCAGCGTGCCAAAACGCTAGTATCGCCTCTCAGCAGCACTGTTTAGTAGGAAAATAATTTTGATTGTCATACAGTCCAGCGCGTAGCCCATGCATCACACTCGGAACGCTCACCGCCTGCGCGCTCTGCTCTCCCCCTGCATCTGATGCGTCGCGCACTTCTGCGGCCGGCATCCACAGCTCCCCTCCAGCCTCGCCCAGCAAGCGAAGCAGCGTCAGCCATGAAGATCGTGCGCCGCAGAGACGAGCCCGGCGCCGCCGCGCCAGCGGCCGCCACAAAGCCTGCCGCGCCCGCGGCGGCGGGCGGCATCACGCCGAAGGTCCTGGTGCGCGCCGCCGCGCCAGCCAAGGTTTCAAAAGAAGAGGAGGACAGCCGGAAGGTTGCCCAGCTGCTGGGCAAGCTCAGCCTGGACGGCGCCTGCGACGGGGCGTCCGACGTAAAGGCGGCGGTGGCCGCCAGCGGGTTTGGGCCGCTGCAGGTGAGGACTGCCGCCGCGCCCGCCCCGTGGCTGCCCGCGGCAGCCGCCGCTGCCGCTCCGGGCTGACGCTTTCACGGCAGCGCCTCGTATCGGGCCCTGGGTTCGCGGATGCATTGACGACATCACCTCAAAGCGCACCCAAAACGCCCATGATCACAACCGCCGACGCTACTCGTCCCTGTGCCTGCACCCCGATTTCTATAACAGGCGGCGGGTTTGATCGACCGCCTGGCGGCATCCCTTGACAGCCCCGACCCCGACGCCCGCGAGGCCGCCCTGCTCGCGATCGCCCAGCTGCCCGCCGCCACCGGCCGCGCCGCGGAGCCCTACCTGCTGCCCCTCGTCCCCTCGATCCTCGAGCGCGCGACCGACAAGGCCGCGCCCGCGCGCGACGCCGCGGCGGCGGCGGGCGCGGCCGTCGCGCGGTCGCTCTGCCCGCACGCGGCGGAAATGGTGCTGCCGGTGCTGTTTGAGCACACAGACCCGCTTAAGAAGTGGCAGGTGCGGGAGCTGGCGCTCAAGATGCTCGCGGCCGTGTCGGAGGTGGCGCCTAGGCAGGTGGCCGCCCGGCTGCCGGAGATCGTGCCGCTGATCGCGACGCTCATGGTCGACGCCAGGGAGCAGGTGCGGCGCTGCACACGCGCGCGCGGCGCAGCGCGCCTCCTGCTTCCCGCCGCCTGCCGCCTTGCGTCACCTCGATTCTCTGGGAGACTCGAGCGGCCAGAGCATTTGGCACCGGTTGCGTCTCGGCAGTTCGGGCGCCGTCCTGCTTGCGCTCGAGATTCACAATTCGTGGGGATGCGAGCGAGTTTTCGAATGGGGCGACGGGCCGCGCAGTCCCGCACGGCGGGAGGTGACGCGAGCTGACTGACGGGTTTGGTCGCCTTGCTGCGCCGCGCCGCCCCGCGCCCGCGCGCCCCCGCAGGTCAAGGCTGCGGCGGTGGAGGCGGGCACTGCGAGCTACCACCTCGTGGGGAACAGGGACATCGAACACCTGGTGAGCGCGAAGCTGCCTGGCAGCCGGCGTCGCTGCTTGGAATATGATGCGAGGGCCGCGGCGGCGGGCGCTGGGCGCCGGCGCCCTGGTTTGGGCGGCGCCACTGCGCCCCGCGCCGCGCTCCGCGGATCAATGGGAGCGCGGTCCCAGGCGCGGTCGTGTCAGGCAGCGCAGCTCGAACGGCGCGGCAGCGTGGGCCGCGTGCCGAGCGAGCGGCCGCTCGTGTTTTGCTGCCGGCGGCCCGAGTGGAACGGCCGCAGCTGCATGGCGCACCCCAGCGCTGTCCCACCGCAACGACGGTCGTCTGAGCCTGGCTGGGCCGTGCGCGGCGTTGAGTCACAGCACCCATCCCCCTCTGCTGCGGCGTGATGCTGTGGCGCGGCATCACAGGTGGACGACCTGCTGCACTGCGTGGCGCGCCCTGAGGAGGTGACCGACGTGGTCGTGAAGCTCAGCGCCACCACGTTCGTGCAGGTGGGGCCTGCGGCGCAGGGGCCGGCGCGGGGCCTTGGGCATCGGGGAGCAGCGACAAGGCGGGGCAACCGCCGCGTCGCCCCCTGCCGCTGCAACGCCCGCCTTGTTCGACGGCCCGGCATCCCCCTGTACCCGACTGGATTGCGAGCCGGCAACTCAGCGCCTGTCGTTGCACCGGGAATGCTTGCTTCTCCCCCAGGCGATCGAGGCGCCCGCGCTGGCGGTGATGGTGCCGCTGCTGATCCGCGGCCTGCGGGAGTCGACCCCGATCCAGCGCAAGTGCTGCGTCATCACCACCAACATGGCCAAGCTGGTCAACAGCCCCCTGGACGCGGCGCACTTCCTGCCAGCCCTCGTGCCAGGTGCGCCCCCTGCCACCACCCCCTTCCCGGCCGCACCGTCCCCTCCCCCCTCCCCGGGGGCCGCGGCGCAGGCCTCCATCCCGACACGCCGCAGCTGGCCGTGCTTGCAGCGCGGCAGCCGCTGGTGTCACTTCTGCGCATAGGGAGCCGGCCGGGCCGGCTGCGACGACCGAACGCCGAGCCCGCCGCTGCACCTGTCGTTTCACACATTTGAATTTCCCCTGCAGGCGTGGAGAAGGTGGCGCGCATCGCGGCGGACCCTGAGCTCCGGGAGGTGGCCAGCGGGGCGCTGGTTGTGCTGGAGCGGATCGTGAAGGAGGCGAGCGCGATGCACAAGGAGACCAAGGCGGCGGCCGCGGACAAGGAGGTGCGGGGGAAAGGGGGGGGTGTTTGTCTGGGCGGCTGGGTTTCAGGTGGGTTCGATCACTTGGGGCGGTCGGGTTTTCGGGGCCAGGCGATGCCGCTTGGATGGACTTGCGAGTGTGGGGACGGGCACTTTGATTAGGCGCGCATATTGGCGTGTGGCGGACAGGGGCTGTAAAAAGCAGCTTTGCGTGGGGAGCGCGGCACAGCAGGGACGGCGGGCGGTAGAAGTTGTTGGTGCTTGAAAGGTACACTGGCTGCGGCACCGCCTTCCGACCTTTTGTAGCAGACGCGAGACCAGCTGCCTTGCCAGTAGCCCCCGTAACTGCGCGCAGCAACGGGGCTCTCCAGGCCTGACGCCGTCCCGAACTCACCCAAATTTCATTTTCCACACTCGCAGGAGACGCGTAAGCAGCTGGCGGCGACCATCGCGCTCACAAACCCTAGCCCCGTCGACGGCCCCGTTCTGTCGCACGTCGCGACGCTCTGCTGCGCGCTGATGGACGGGCGCATCTTCGAGTTTGAGGAGTGGCGGGACTGCCTGGTGCCCTACCTGGCGCCCACCTTCATGGACGAGGCCGCCGCAGAGGCCGCCTGCCGCGCGTTCATGGCGCAGTGAGTGGCGGCGCCGCCAGGGCGTGGAGGGGGCTGGCGCCGCCTTATGGGTAGCCCCCCCTTTCGCGCCCCGCCCCGCTTTGCTCATCTTGCACACAGCCGAAGCGCTACTTTACACCGCACCCTCCCTGCCGGCCCTGCCCGGCCAGCCGCGAGCAGGCGGGGCACATTGTATCGTAGCCAAGCGCGTGGTTGGGGCCCTCGGGTCCACCTCCCACCCAGTCATTTTTTACTCGCTCGTCTTCAGCCTGCGACTTTCCCCTCCGTAAACTCACTCTGCAAACCCCACCCCGCCCGCGCCGCAGGTGCATGGCGAAGATGCGGGAGGAGGGGGCGATCGAGGACCTGGGCTGGGAGAACGAGGGCGACGACGCGGAGCACCAGGAGCTGTGCAACTGCCGCTTCAGCCTGGCGTACGGAGGGAAGATCCTGCTCAACAACGCGTGCCTGCGCCTGGTGAGCCGGGGCGGGGGGCGGGCGGCCTGTCATGCTGGGCGCCAGCCTCGGTCTTCGTAACTGTGGGCGTTTTGCAAGTCCCGGTCCCCCCTGCATGGAGGAGGCACAGGCCAACACGCTTTCTCTCCTGATCATATTGCGAAATGTCAAACCTGGCGCACGCAGCTGCGCGGCCGCCGCTATGGCTTGTGCGGCGCCAACGGCGCGGGCAAGTCCACTCTGATGCGCGCCATCAGCCGCGGCCAGCTGGACGGCTTCCCGCCGGCGTCCCAGCTCAAGACGATCTACGTGGAGCACGACATCCAGGTGCGGCGGCGCGGGTCTTGACCGGCGCTACGCCGGCGGTTGACGGGCGTTTGACCGTCGTTTGACTGATGTTTGTGCTGCCAGTATCACAGCTGGTCAACATCAGCATTGGTTCTTGAGCTGCAATTATTGCCCACGCTCACCAGCCCGAGGCTGGAAGCAACTAGAATTGCGCCGCCGCGAATCCGACCCCGCTGCAATCTGCTGATGTCACCGTACCTGCGCAGGCGTCCCTGGCGGACCTGTCTGTGCTGGATTACGTCGCGGCCGACCCCGAGATCCAGAAGACCGGCAAGGGCCGCGCCGACGTCGAGGCCGCGCTCGCGTCCACCAACTTTGATGCGGAGATGATGGCCAAGCCCATCACGGGCATCAGCGGCGGCTGGAAGATGAAGCTCGCGCTGACCAGGTGGGGCCCGGGTGCCGCGAGGTGCGGCGCTCCCTGCTGCCAGGGGCCTTCCGGGCCGCAGCGCGCGCATGCATGATGGGCAGCGCAGTTTCAACTTGTTCCCTGCTGACGGCGCGGAGGCTTCGTCAGCAAAGCTGCGTGTCTTGACCCCTGCCCGAAATCGACGTCGCCGTGGGTCCCCTTCCATCCTCTCAACATTTACAGGGCCATGCTGCTGGGCGCGGACATTCTGCTGCTGGACGAGCCCACCAACCACCTCGACACCACCAACGTGGCGTGGCTGGAGGAGTGGCTGGTGTCACAGAAGGACGTCACAGTCATGACCGTCTCCCACGACAGCGGCTTCCTCGACAAAGTCTGCACGGGTTAGTCTGCGCGGGCGCCCCCTCAAGACCCCCTGAGGGCGCCCGCCTGCGGGAGCGTCAGCCCTGTGGAGGGGCCCCCGCTTGGGGAATTTTAGGCTGCTGCTCCTGCCTCTTGTTGTTGTTGTTGTGCCTTTGGACACTCCAACCTTTGTGGCGGACAAGGGCTGGTGAGCTACACAGGAAAGGAGGCTTTCACCCGTGCTGACTGCCCGCGTAAATGCGCCTCGTGCCATGCACGCTCACCCCCATCCCGCAGACATTATCCACTACCAGCAGCGCCAGCTGCGGCGGTACCGCGGCAACCTCTCGGAGTTCGTCAAGGCGGTGCCGGCCGCCAAAAGCTACTACGAGCTTGAGGCCGCCAGCCTGCGCTTCAGGCGCGCTTTGACCGGGGTTTGACCGAGCCAGGGGGTTTGACCAGGGGCTCTGGAGGCTGCCAATCACTGGCCGCGTGCGGCAGGACTTGCGCTGCCATCTGTTTATGAGAGAACTGGCGGCTTCTTCTCCCAGCAGGGCCGTCTGGCCTGTTCTGGTGGAGGTGGAGCCCGTGCTTACACGCCGGCATTTGTCCTCCAATCCATGTGTTTCGCAGGTTCCCCACTCCTGGGCTGCTTGACGGCATCACCTCAAAGGAGAAGCCCATCATCAAGGTGCGACAGCGCTTTGCCTGCGCGCCTGCCTTCGCGCAACCACTCGCGCGGTGCCCTCCTGCCACGTCCCGCGCCCAATACTACCTGGCAGTCCTGTGCGTACGTTTTCATATCTCTAACTTCCCTGCAAAATGCCATTTGAAAATGACCCGCAGCTGGACAAGGTGCAGTTCACCTACCCTGGGGCGCCCCGCCCCCAGATCTCCAACGTGCACGTCATGTGCCGCCTCAGCAGCCGCGTGGCCGTGCTCGGCGTCAACGGCGCCGGCAAGTCGACCCTCATCAAGGTGTGTGTGTGTGGGGGGGGGGGAGGGAGGCTTCGGCCTGAGCTCGAACCCGTTGCCTTTGCGCCTGCTGCTTGCTGCTGCTTGCGATCTATAGCAAAGCCGCTTGCGCTTGGGCGCCCGCCTTGCAGATTGCACAACGGCTGCAGGCAGCAGTCGTGTCGGCTCACAAGCCCTTTGTGACTGCCAAGTCAAAATCTGACAGCTTATGATCACATCCCATATCCCTCCGCCAGATCATGACGGGAGAGAACAAGGCAGACACCGGCAGCCAGGCGCGTGCCGCGCGCGGCGCCCGAGAGCGCTTCGGCCGGGCTGCTGCTGCGATACAGAGTGGGGCCCGCGGCTCCGCGGCCCGGGCCTCGCCCGCGCTACCGATCCGGCCCGGCAGCACAATCCGTGCACGCGCCACCCCCCACGCTCGCGACCTGGCCCCGAGCGTCTGGTAGCTTGAATTGGTGGCTCCCGCTGACGTCATCACGTCACCGCACGCGGGCGGCTCTTTCGTTCACGCGCGCGCAGGTGTGGCGGCACCCCAACCTGCGGCTGGCGTATGTGGCGCAGCACGCGTTCCACCATCTGGAGGAGCACTTGGACACCACACCCCTCAAGTACATGTTCCACAGGTGACCCCCAGCCCCCCCTGGATGCCGCTTGGCATGCATCCTGCTGCGCCCAAGCCCCTTGGGCCCGGGCCCGCCCACCAGGGACAACCCGCAGACCAGCACAGCCAGAATTTCCAAAGCCCATCGCACGCGCCTGCAGAAGCAGCGGCCAGCCACCACAATACAGC